TTACCAGGGTCCAAGACATCAGCCTAAGAACCACTCGTCAATCTGACAACTATATGAATCTACAAATAAAACAGTGCAAAGGAGAAATTCGAAGGAAATTTTTCAGCAATCGAGTTGTTCAACCATGGAACAATTTACCTGCAACTATTCAGAATGCCAAGAATGTAGACAGTTTCAAAAGAATGTACGATGAACATGTGAAAATGTGAATGATATAAACAATGATGGCCAGAACTATAGTGAACTAAAATCATTTACAGTTAAATCAAGAAATTCTCATTATACTCCAATAGGAGTCCTGAGAATCAATACCACATAAACATAAACATATCTCTGCAACCAGTGGGTATAAACCTTTGATATTTCAAACTTAGATTATTTGATCTAACAGAATTAATAGTTTGAAATATCTAAGGTCTACGACATTGGGTTGCCAAGATATAGGGATAAGAATATTTGAGTTTGTGGCAAAAACTCAGTTCCTTTGCAAAAATAAAACTTGCATAATAAATATTTAATTTTTGAATTTTTTTATAAACCTACCATCTTTTTTTAGGGAATATTTTTGCAATTTCGTAAAAAAGATGATTTTTCCGCTAAAAGGGCAAACTTTGGTATATACCATTTTATAGGAAATGTTTTCTAGTTTTAAAATCTTATATGGTTCAATATTGCCCAAGTAGCCGTTTTTGAGATAATTTACTTTATCGGAAAAAATTAGGAAATATTTTTGCAAAAGTACATAAATATTTATTTAATTTCTAATCTTCGAAAGAGCCCAACTTCTTCAAGATTCATTTTTTACCTAAATTTTTTGATAAAAAATAGATCTATATCTATACTTAACAAATATTTTGGATTTTTTTATGAATGCTTCATAAATATTGACCTTGCACCTGTAAAGGAAAAAATGCCTTTTTTCCGATTTCCTGTGACAATTTTGAAAAATTTGAAATTTCCAATTTAGTTGAACTTTGAACCCTCAGAACTTTTTTCTCTGACAAGATACCTTGTCTGTTTTTTTCCCTGAACCGGCTTGGTAATATCTTGGTAATAAAGATGTCATATTAAAAAATTCAGCAAAATTCAGGACAACTTAGTTTTTTTAATTTGTCCGGCCGCGGAACCACTGGGGGGGGGGGGTTAAAGTGGAGATTTGTGTATACGAAAAGAATGTCTAACCTGTAAAAACATTCCAATTTCATTTCTTCAGATGGTTTAGAGAGAATTGTCTCCCATTCATAATCCGTGAACTGTTTACGCATCAGACGGAAAAAGTTCTCCGTCCGGTCTATCCGACTACAACAGGGAGTAAGGAATAGATATAACTGAAACGGCCCGCCCTACCATATGATTATACATGCTTTGCAGACGGTACTTCATTTGAATAAGAAATATTTGTCTAATGTACAATTACCGCGTATACAATAACCTATGGATCCGGATCCGGATCCGTTTTTTTGAAAAGCGGATCCAGGATCCGGATCCGGATCCGGATCCGCATCAAAATTAAATGGATCCTAAGCACTGTCTAAAACCATTACGATTTATTTATCTATAACGAAGGGACTCATTTGTCCTCTAAGTGGCCTTAGAAAAAACGAGTAACCCGACCCACCAGCACCCCTATTAGATAATGAGATGTGAGCCTCAAGGTAGGAGGCCTGCATACTGGAAGGATAAAATTTTTATATAGATTTCTGAAGGGTGTTTACTGTTTGAATTTTAATTTATTTGACCAAATTTTTTTTGTATTTTTTTATCATGTTGCTTTTTTTTGTACTTTTTTGTACTCTTTTCATGTTGCTTAGTTTTTTTGTACTTTTTTCATGTTGCTTATTTTCTCATTTCTTTATCCGTTCCGTTCCGAATGCAAAAATTAGAATAAAAATTGATTTTTTTATTGAATAAGCTTTTGAATGTGTACCTGTCACAGATGGGCATAACATCAACTCCGAGAAGAAATCTATCCTGGTTCTCATCCTTATCACAGGGGTATAAAATTTCATTCTTATCACAGGGGTTTAAAACTTCACTTGTCACAAGGGTATAAAATTTCATCCTTATCACAGGGGTTTATATCTTCACTTATCACAGGGGTATAAAATTTCATCCTTATCACAGGGGTTTAAAACTTCACTTGTCACAGGGGTATAAAATTTCATTCTTATCGCAGGGGTTTAATATTTCATCCTTATCACAGGGGTTAAAAATTTCGGCCTTATCACAGGAGTTTAAAATTTCATCCTTATCACAGGGGTTTAAAATTTCATCCTTATCACATGGGTTTAAAACTTCATTCTTATCACAGGGGTTTAAAATTTCGGCCTTATCTCAGAAGTTTAAAATTTCATCTTTATCACAGGGGTATAATATTTTTTTAAAAACTTTTTTTTATTCCCTTTTAGTTTTAAGAATTATTTCTTCCCCAGATGGTAGGTTTGTTAGCTTGGAGTACAAAATGAATGGAAATAAATGAACAATTGTTGGGTTTAACTTGCCAGTGTCCAATATTTCGTTTTGACAGTACAGGTAGTTTATCAAAATGTATACCCTTACCTTTTCAATTTGCTCCACGTTAACCCTCTGTGCAGCCAGAACAGTTAAATCTCCAGCATGCGAGATATTTATTTCCAGTTCAGGCAGGTTCTCTAAAATATAAATAGTAAACAAAATTCAGTTCAGACAGGTTCTCTAATATATATAAATAGTATACAAAATTCAGTTCAGGCGGGTTCACTAATGTATAAATAGTAGTTCAGGCAGGTTCTCAAATCTATAGATCCTGAACCAAAATATGCAAAAACTTATTTTTTGCTCTCGAAATATAATTCTACCATAATGGATAGTGCGATTGATAAAACTCATTGATCTTTAAACATAAAAATAAAATCTACCAACTAACTTATTCAACAATTAACTAGCTACAGTGCTACAGTGCTCTACATGGTTCCTGGATACAGTGATCTACATGGTTCCTGGATACAGTGCTCTACATGGTACCTGGATACAGTGCTCTACATGGTACCTGGATACAGTGAACTTAATGGTACCTAGCTACAGTGCTCTACATGGTTCCTGGATACAGTGATCTTAATGGTACCTAGCTACAGTGCTCTACATGGTACCTGGAAAAGGACGACCCCTGTCAGTTCTGGAGAATTTTATCTGTTTGTTGGTTAGTTCCCCCAGTAAACATACAGCTTTTCTTAGCATTAATCTTCCAACTAGCGAGGCCTAGCTATAGTTTACTTCATTTTTTAAATTTTAATATAACAAAATTAATTTTCAATTAAAAAATATCTAAAAATTAACATTTTTTATTTCAGTTTTAACAAATTATGAAGTTATATACTAGCCTTAGCATCAGACTGATACATGAACTAAATCAAAATTAAATGTAATTAAAACTCAAACAAGTACTTAAGATTATTACTTATCACATCACCATTTCTTTCATTGCCAATAAGGTATTTTAAATAAATCGAATTTAATTTCAAGATAAATGATAATTTGTATGTTTAATTTATAAACCTGATGAATTCTTTTTTTCTCCTCTTCCTGAAAATTCGGATGTTTAGAGAATTGATTAAGGTAAACTTGTCTTTTTTATATAAATATATTTCTGCACTATGCTTTAAGGCACTCCGCGCCCCTTTCTATGGTCATCTGAGTTGCCACACAAAAATTGGGCCCGATCAGTTCAGTCTTTTAGACATTTATTGGATGCACACAAACAAACAGAGAACAGACAAGCCTAGTAAAAGCATATGGATAAAGGAGCAATTAGCACCTCTTATTCCTTTTGATTTTAAAATTACCGAGGATAACTAATTAACTAATTTAGCAAGGCGAAGTAAAAATAATCCTTCCCAACCAGAAAACATTTTAACTTCACCTTAAAAATAACCCACTTGCTTCCTCCAACCAAAAAAAATGGAGTTTTTTATTCGGAACATTTTAAGCTTTACATAACTTTCGTTGTCTGAAATGAATTCATTGATATATCTTCTACAAGGTCAATATGCAGGGAATAAGAATTCAAATTAGACGCAATCATTTTTTTTAATAAGATCCGTTCCTGGATAGCGGCAAATGATCTACTGATCTCCTGGTGGTCCGGGGACCAGTTGTTGTGATTAAAAAACCAGCGTATACATTTTCCAACTCCTCTTTCATTCATCCCACTCATCCTCATCTATATAAAACGTACATTAACTTACGCATTAAAGTACCGACTCACTAAATGTGCATCCGACCTACAGCTGTCGTAGGTCCGAAGTATCGCAGGAGTATGACGACAATGCTGTAGGACTGAAGTAACATTACGCATTAAAATCCCAACATAATACAGGGACTGGATGAAAAGTTTAACGAAGTTTAACGAAGTATAACGAAGTCTGTAAATTATATTCTGACCGTTACACCCAATTTTCAAAAAAAAAATTGAATTAATTTAAATGACTGGATGAACATTTTTATTAACCTATTGTGTACTTTATCACTCATGGTTACTTCACGGTAAATTGCATTATAGTCGTACTGTCAAGTATTCTGGTTTAATTGGTCCCGGATTTTCTCCCTAAATAGTTTAAGATATGTTTTTTAATTGAAATAAAAATGGACTTATTTCTGCTTTGTTAAAAAGCATAATTTATATATCTAAAAATTATCTTTTAATTAGACAATACACAACCATCTCATAAAATTACTCAGAACACTGTTTTTTAATTCAGACAAAAATTTTTTTTCATAAAAATATGTATTATGTACCCCTGTTTGTCTCTTTCTTCTACAGCCTTCACACAAAACCCATTTTAATCTGAAAAGTTAAAACTTTTAAGATCCTTTATAAAAAAAAGTATTATAGTCTCTACTTGCGTTAATTAAGGAACTGAGAATAAAATGGTAAAAATCTACATCCTTGTAACATCTCAAGGTTTAATTGTCTAACTATTTGCGATGCTAAGACTGTCAACGTATCTCAAGTTAACCTCTGATACAATAATATCAATAATTAACAACGGTTTCCTTTAAACCAATACTTGTTAAAATATGAGAAAAAAATTGCAAAGAAAACCGTTGAGAATAGTTGAAATATAGCAGACAACCGTTAATCTCCTGAGTCCGAGTTCTCCATCTNGTGGGGTTGGCACTAAAACGCATTTGAAAACGACGAAATCAGCAGGATTTATCTACAGTAAATCACAGATATATGAATACATAGAAAGCGTTGATATTAAACTCTTCATCTCGATATCCAATGTGGGCACTTTTAAATTTGAGGATAAATACTTGATCCCTCAATAGAAGTTATCCCTGAAGAAGATAATATCAACGATACTTGCATTAAAATCTCCTGCTATATATTCATATATCTGGGTTTCACTGTATTACAACGCTAATTTTGATATGAGTAAATTTTCTGAAACTGATTTAATACAATTCATGGAAAACGAACCAAAACCGCTGATATTTAAAGTGGGATAGAAAGTTTTAAATAAGGAAATTTCATAGTAAATCCTTTCTATAATTCTCAGGCTCAGTGAACTATGTACGTTTTACCAGAGGGTTGACATAATGTTGAACTCTAAATCACCAAACGAGTATAACTTAGTACGCTTTAGACCTTTTATTCTAGGATCGACCCTTCGAGATGAAGAAATCGGACTGTGAACTACTCGAGGAAAAAATAAATAAAGGAATAACGATTTATTTAGTTCGGGAACCATGGATCACAATTCTGAACTCATGTATTCATAGACCGGAGTTCATTTTATCAAACCTCCTGACAGGGTTTCTTTTTTATACACAAAATGCAAGTATTAAAAATTCAGAAAGTTAAGGAGAATTTTCTGAAGTTTGGAACGTTTTTTTTCAAGTTAACTTAACTTATTTAATTTTTTAAAGAATAAAATATTTCGAGTTCGGGAGAAGTCCTGTTACTGTGTTCTTGACAGAGTCCAAAACATTGTCTAGCGGCCAAACTAAGTGTTTAGCCGAATATATTTATACAACATATTGGCCACTTCGTGAATATGTATATTAAGGTGTCTCAGCAACTTTTCGTAATTTAGAAACCAATTTTACCGATTTAAATCTTTAACAAAAGACTGATAAATACTGCTAATCTTTCCGTGTTCTGTTAACAGACAGGTTTTTTTCGATAACTTTTCTGAGACACCTTCATCACTTTCCCATTCACTTATCCTCCTCCTCCTCCTTATCACAAATAAAGGAATTAGCTGTCAGATGTTTCTCTGTAAACTTGCTGAAAGAATGACGGTGGGTTGTGCTGAGCAGCTTGCTGTTGCTGCTGCTGTTGTTGAAGTTGTTGTTCTTTCTTCTGCTGTTGTTTGGATACAGGCGGACACAGGTAGAGATCAGAAGACATTATTCTAACATCCATTCTCTCCTCCTTCCTATAGCACAGGCATTTACGAATGAAGTTCTTGGCCTCCGTGGAGACGGTGGGTTTGTTAGGGAACTGAACCTCGGTGGCCTTGAGGATGGTATTTTCCTCTAGGATAGTGGCCTACGTACACATATATATATTATACTCAGAACAAATTTTGGCTTCAGATGAACAAAAGAAAATTTCTATTTAACAACCGTAATAATGGAAGATTGTGTATTTATTCCATCCTTTGAACCCAGCCTAATTAAATTGATCTAAACTGCAATGATGAAATGATAAATATCTAACGAACTGTAGTATTCATTTTCTGGAGAGAAAAATATCTATTTGTTGTGTTAATTTAGTTACCCCCTCCCCCCCGGGGAGGAAAACCCCAAAGATTTCAGCATTTTTTAAGAATTCAGTCAATTAAAGCATCAATGTATATATTCCTGAGATTGATTATGTCCAAACGGTTTTTTCCCGTACAAGCACTGGTAAAATATAACACCAACGGACCACACGTCCACTTTAGAGGAAATTTTGGGCGGAGCCTTTCCGACAACAAAGCACTCTGGAGGGAGGTACCAATAGGTGCCCGCCCCTTGGCTGGTTAGATCCATACCCTCCTGTGGATTATAACTATCCTCGTCCATTATCTTAGAGAGTCCAAAATCTGTTATCTTAATATCACCGCTGATAACATGGTCCCCGGTAAGAAGGATGTTTCCTGGTTTGAGATCGTAATGTATGATCGGAGGCTTGATTTCATTAAGATATTTGAGTGCTGAGGTGACCTGCATTATGATGCTTCGTGCTTCCCTCTCCGGGATAGTTTTGTGCTGCTTGAGGTGGAAATCAAGATCGTGTCCGTCACAGTACTCCAACACGGTGCAGAAACTGTTGGCGTCGATCTCAAAAACGTCGAACAGATTCACGATCCGTGCATGCTCTAGCGCCTTGTGAATATTGTATTCTCTGAGCGCGTGCTTGATATAGTTTGCCTTTTTGTCATCCTTCCAATCCTTGTTAAGCTGATGTATTTTACATGCGACATATCTCTGTTCCTTCATGTCGAATCCTTTATGCACTTCAGAGAACCCACCTTTCCCCAACAGCATTAGAAGTAGATACCGATCGTTAAGGACCAAATGGTTGTTGTATCTGCTCTGATCCTCATTGTGGATCCTCTTGAGCTCTCTGATGTGGAGATTCCGCTCCCTCTCAAGTTTCTCCATCTCTATGGCCATCTCTGCATCATCTCGTTTAAGAGAGTTTTGCCGTAACCGAAGAATTTCTTCAGCTTCGTAATATTCCTGCATTGTGAGCGCATCCCTCGGTGGAGGTTTTATAAAAGTAGTTTCCTCCGAACCTGCTCCGTTGTGAAGACCCATCTGCTGCTGATCCAAGGATTGATGGTTCGCATTGTTGGCTGTTGCGGCTCCGCCCTTTTTTCGCCCATCCTCCTTATCAACCGGTTTCTTTTTGACAAGCAACTTTTTCCGTTTATCAATCTCCTCCCGCTCTGTACAAATTTCCTCCTGCTTTTTGGCAAGCTCCTGGAACGCGTATCCGTCAGTCCAATTTTCTTGAAAACTTGCCCCGACACGTTGAGTTACAAACTGACCAAGACGAAGCCGGTTCGCCATACATTTAGCTCTTGCGTCTTTGCGTTCTATCGTGGATTTTTCAATCAGTAGTTCCTGTTAAATTAAATCAATAATTTTTGTTGAAAATAAAGAGAAAAAATGATAATTAAAAAAGTTTGCAAAATTAATTATTTTAAAATTATTTGATTATAATTTCCTTGGCAACACTGAGACAACGGCTGATGGTTTCCTTCTGACTATCAATAGTTTTCTGCGCAGAAGCGAGTCTTCGGGTCAACTCATCAATCTTAGCGCCTTGAACCTCGATCTCAGCCGAGCTTCGAGTTTCGAGTTCCTCAACCTTATCCACCGTTAGATCGGTCTGGGTCGCCTTAACCACCCCCGGTCCACGGGGCACGGGTTGTTGACCGGGTCGCGGCGCCGGCGGCTGCATCCTAAAGTCCCCCATTCCCGACATAAAAGTAGGTTGAGGGGAGCATGGTAAAAATTGGTTTGAGTTAGGAGAAGGAGATTTAGCCCCACTGGGCCCTCGTCCAGGCGAACTCGTCGGCTTGCCGAAATAGTCATTAATTGTCCGGTTATTATCACTTGTTTTACGGCCTGGTTTAGAGGACTGTGACACCTCACTGTCATCGCCGTTTTTGCGTTTTCGTTTCCGCTCCTTCGGAGTTTTAGCGTTAGGAGTTTTATCCGGAGAAGGATCCTGGGCACTTTTTCCGTCATCGGACGCTATCGAGCCTTAAAAAAATGAAAATTAATAACCTGAAATATGGAAACTTCCATTCTTATTTGCCCACATTAATAACACACAATAGTCGTTCTCCCGACTAGGAATTCGGATTTTCTTCCGAATCCTTCTTTATCATTATCAAAGACACACGAGACCAAATTTTGCTGTGTAAATATTTTCAATTAAATTCAAGTAAATGATGTTAAAATAATTCATTGGAACACTTCTTTAAAATTTACGCAGAAGATTAAAAAACATTAGTGTTAACTTTTCATAATTATTTTTTATGAAAAGTATAAGCAGTGCTTAGAATCCATTTAATTTTGTTGCGGATCCAGGTCCTGGATCCGCACTGGAAAAAATGGATCCGGATTCAGGTTATTTCCATAATATTTACTGAATTTTGTCTTATTTTTTCGTTTTTTTGCTAAAACTTGATGAACCGTTCAGAAATCAGGAAATTTTTTTAATCTCTTTTTTCAAAAGTTCAGATTTGGGGTTCCAGAGTAAATTTTTTTCTTTTCAGTTTTTTGCTGATATTTTGCTCCTTATATCGGGATCCGTGGATCCGCATATTTTTGCGGATCCAACGGATCCTATGCACTGCATAAGTAATGAACTTCCATGATGCTTCGCGTCCATTTTCTAGTAACAATTATAGCTGATAAACGTTGCTTTTCAAGTTGTCATTTTTGTTCGTTAATCATATTTCGCGGATTTTTCTGTTTAAATTGACGCATTTTCAAAAAATTTGCCAAGTTTTTAAAATTTATCGTCAATAAACCTTCTCCAGGGTCATGTGAGCTAACACACAAAATTTGGACCCGACCGGTTCAGCCGTTTATTGGATATAAAAAGATAGACAAGTGATGTTAATTGCAAAAGTTAAGGATTCAATTAAATAAAAGTATCAAAAAATCAATCTAAGAAAAAATATAAATCCCTGTACAGAGGTTCCAGTTACCTGTACTTTGATTAGAATCTTGGCTGAAGGTAGAGGACATGTTAATCAAAGGATTGGAATGATCTCCGTCAGGAAGGAACTTCTGCAACCCGACCTTGTTGACCTCGGTCAGGTCGAACCTGGCTCCGGACTCCTTCCTCATACGCTTAGGATCCTTCATGATAGGGGAGGGGGGCATTGGGCGTGCAGCAGTGGGGGGTAAACTCTGGGTCCCTCGACCTTCGTAAATTAAATATAAGAACTTAGTCAGATGTTTAATTATTTTAAAAAACATTCTGAACAAAACTAAGATATTTTTCAATTTTCCAAAAGTTTAATAAATTTCCCATAAAATTAGAATTCACACTTAAAAAGCCTTGCACCATAGTAGAAAGAAGTTTGTGGGGAATTTGGAGTGCAATGCGAGTGTAAATTAAACCAATGATAAAATATATTAAAATAAAATACTAAAAAAAAAATGAAGACATTATTTAATTAAATACCAAGACAGACACAACATTGTAAATTTTGTCATTTTTAAAAATCAAATTTTAGTAATTCTGTTAAAAGAAAAAGAAAATTGGGAAATATCTTATACTGTCATTTAGAAATTCACAAAACATATGTAAAAAAAATTAAACAAAACTAAAACGGTTTCACGATTTAAAAAAAATCTTAAGGTGAAAAAACATATGCTAAAAGTCCCCAAATCTGAAATACGAAAAATTGGGGGAAAAGGAAATTCTTTGTGTATTAAAGGGAGTGTTCGCGAAAAATGAAAGGGTGTATAGGCTTAATGCGATAAAAAAAGCGCTTTTGATCGCTACTAATCTTACTTCTATCTGTTGCGTCTATAAGGAGAAAATTGATAAAGACGTCTCATACCGAAGAGCGTAGCGCCCATACAAATTGTGGAAGTTGGATCATACGACTTAAACCGTAAAAAAATCAAATTAATATCAAACAAATCATTCAGATATTACAACCTATAGTCATCCATTATCTTTCGCCACATTTGTATAATATTTGATATTTCATACTAGTTTTGATTTTGTTTTTTAAAATAATATTAGCTTACAACTTGTTTTCGAACATTCCTGGAAAATATGAAAATGTCGTCTTCATTACCAAAAATCCTCGAAACAGGAATAAATGTTTTTATAAGTAACTCTCAGATCATAAAAATTAAAACATATTATGAAAAATCAACTATATGTAAATGTGGCGAAAGATAATCGATGACTATAGGTTGTAATATCTGAATGATTTGTTTGAAATTAAATTGATTTTTTTACGGTCTAAGTCGTATGTTGCAATTTTCTCAATTTGTATGGACGCCATGTTATTCGGTATGAGACGTCTTTAACAATTTTCTCCTTATAGACGCAACAGATAGAAGTAAGATTAGTAGCGATCAAAAGCGCTTTTTTATCGCATTAAGCCTATACCCCCTTTCATTTTTCGCGAACACTCCCTTTAAAGAAGAAAACACTAAGATAAAAAAGAATATGGGCCACCCCGCCATCTTGAATTATATGTTTTTGTCTACCTATTCCAGGAAGTGTGGGACGAGGAACATGTTGCGGAGAAGAGGGAGCTTGAACTCCTTGAACTCCTTGGAAACCTTGAACTCCCTGTAGCCCTGGAACTCCTTGAAGTCCAGGAGGTCCCTGAAGATGAGCTGGCAGGGTCGGAGGAATCGGAATGAATGGTTGAGAGTTCGGTGATATATCAGTTATATCATGATCAAACTAAAAATACGCAGTCAAAATATTATTGAATTTAATTCATTAGAAACTGAAAATTAATTTTAACTGATTTAATGGGGGGGAGGCTGAAATGATTTTTTATGAATTGGGAAAAAAATGAAGAAAAGAAGTTTTCATTCTTTTTGATACTTTTCACTCAAAAAATCATCTATTTCAACTGAAAAACCATTTTCCCAAATTCAGCGTGAATCCCGTAAAAAAATGTTGCCGCTCCGTGCTTCTGGGGATTGAATGATTTTTAATAAAAGTATATATCACGCCCTTTTATTAACTAGCATTACCTCGATATCCTCGCGTCCAGCTGTCCCGAAGAACCTGGCCTCCAACAAGGCCTGTTTCCTTGGGTCAACCTTAGTCTGGGACTCACTATCCATCCTCTGCTCTCTCCTAGTCATAATGTATTTAATTCGCGCACAACAGCTATAATGAAATCAAATTAAGAACTATAAGGCATATTTTTAAAGGGACTGTAAGAGAATTATCACGTGACCCACTGTGAAAAGATGACAAAAGACCCTTGAAACCTTTTTCTGATCAATGTTAGGGAAAGTAGAAAAACCAAACTTAAAATTAATCAGAATTATACCCATTGATATCAACGGGGTTCTAGTGTATACAGTGATGATGTACGCTTATCCTTTACTATTTTTATAGGCCATTAACTACACCGAGAGCGTACTGCATATTTGTTTATTATAAGTTGATTCTGGCCTAACCTATAGTATATCAATATTAGTAAACAGTTGATCGAAAGTATACAGTACAGCTAACTGAGCACACGGGTCATCCCCCCTGATTGATACTTAATCAGACAAAGATCTTCAGGATACCGTTGTGAATCGGGCCTTTTCATCTTTAAATGTAGGGTCACTTGAAATTACACTTACAGTCCCTTTAAATATAGGCTACCACCTTGTTTTAAATACTAATTTATTTTTATAATTAAAAATCTGATTTACGCCACTTAAAGTTAGTACTAAATTATAATCAATGCATAGTTAAACCTATAATTTAATTTAATCATACCTTTTTATATTTAAAGATCATATTGAAGATAGTTAAATCATAAATATTCATATTTAAAGATCGGATTTAAACCCCTCAAGCTTTGTTCATAAATTATATTTTGAATTAAGATCATTTTTTAAATCTTGATTACAGTTTTATCATTTATAACATAAGCTTTTGAAGGAAAGGTTGCAGTAAGATTAATCATTAATATTCATATTAAATTTAGTTAGATTAATTTAATTAATTTTAGATTAAGTTTGCTGGGTTTTTTTTAATAAATAATACCGAAAATTCGCTCTTATCCATCTATATATTTAATTGCCACGATTCAACAAATGAAACCAAAAAAAAATTATCATAAAATTTGGGGAAATCTTTTGATCAAAAAAGTGAAAGTCGGTTTTATTCAGAATTTTTAAACCAAAATTAGCCGTTAACAATCCATCCTACCTTGATACATTAAATTGCACTACTTATGCCTTACCGTTACTTACTACATAAACATCCCTCTCCTTCTCCTCTAGCTCCCAGAGGTCGGACCTAGACCCGGAGAACACCGAACCTACACTTGGAGTCACAATACCCAACCCTTTGCGGTCGACGTTCGACGATAATCTGAAATTATCAGTCCTGACAATTAATATGAGATTAAAATTTCGAAAATTTTCGAAAATTTGGATGACAATACAGGTAATTTCCTTGGGGGTCCAAAAATCGTATACTAGGACAGACCCACAATACAACCCACCATTGCAAATCATGAAAGGTTAAGTCGCCGGGAGAAGGAACCGGATTTTAAGAAATAGATTACAAGAAGCTAAACAAACAGCAATGTAATAAATATACTGTCACTTTTCAAGTCAAATTAAACCAGTAAAATCAACTGAAAATTTAAACCTTAAATTTAAAATAAAAAGACGACATTGCCGTCGTGTGAACTATAAAAAATCACGATGTTTTACAAAATTATAAATTGACAAAATAAGTTTTCTGTCAAGTTAGAATCAGCAATAAATAAATTATAAAAAGACGAAAACCTGTCATTTCAAAAGTGTTTCACCATGAAGAATCCTAGTTCTCTGTAATTGGATACTTTCACACATATTTAACAGATCAGACGGCTTTTTGAACAAAAATACATGACAAATAAAGATTCAGACGTAAACAAGGTAAAAAATAACGATAAGTTCCAATTTTGGGCGACAATTAAAAAATAGTATAACTTAAAAATGTGGAAGAAATGAGTTTGTGAAGTAGATAATGGGTTGTGTGTCCAGTCCTCATCAGACCCGCAAAGATGAGGTTTCAGGGAATTAGTTACATTCTCGGCCATTATCCTCTCTGCTGGCTAGCTTGCCGCCTGCAGGGATGGTGCAACTACACTATACTCAACCTACGCAAGCTCACGCAGAATGGAAAAAACATTAACATCGTGATTTAACAAATATTCTACGACGAAATAAATGACTAAAAATTTATGAAACTATACTTTTTGACAAAAAAAGATTGGATAAATTCCTAGAAACCCTTTCGGTAAATTGTAAAGATTATTGTTGCAGTTTTCTGATTTCAACCAGCGCACAGCTTCCGCGCAATTTTCTTTTGGTTATAATTTTCCTCTATTGGGTTTGGTTAAAATTTTAGAAATTAATTAACTAGGGGTCCGCAATGTTTGAGTAAATTTAAATTTTAACGATGTTAGGAAAACATTATTATAATTAATCAAATATTAAATATTACGAATTGAATACTACTAAATACAGAGAAAGTCTTTTTTACAGTCTTTTTCGTCTTTTTCTATACAGTTTTTCTTTTCATGGAAATATATAGTGCATTAAATACATATATTAAAAATCATTAATCATGATTAATTAATATCTGTAAATTGGAAATTTCTAAATAGGACCTTTCATTGAAGGGATGTTTTATAGAGTAATAAAATTTTATTATTCAAAGACAAGAAAGACATTTCAGAATTATAGGAGATGCCGTATATAGACGTACACAGAGACAGGAGATGTCAAAGATAGAAATGAATTTTCAGAGACAGACAGAAATGTATTTTGGGGGGGGGGGGGCAATAAACCTCGAACCCCCTGGAATTCTTGGGTGCCATTAATTTTGATTTAATATTGATATTTTATTGATATGTTATGCAAGGGAGGGCCGGTGCTGAGCATCCATGAGCCCCCCAAACTGACCTCCGGAGCCGATCCTGACTCGCAGAATGACCACCAAGCGAACTCCTAGTCAATCAGCCTGTGTCCGAACCTCATGCTACATCTGCCAGGTTCCCGCAGGCCCGTAACCAGAGGGGGTGCAAGGGTGCAGGTGCACCCCCCCCCCTAGTCCCATATAAAAGAAATATAAAGAAGGATCTAAAATCTAGTTATTAATTTATATAGCCTGAGTAAGAATTGATTTCCAAACCAAATTATGATCTATTTGTGCGTTTCTCATTAAAAGTGTGAAGGAGTTTTTGTGTACTCTCTCTAAGTACACTCAGTACACTCTGTTAATTAAATATAACACAACATCAAAATTTACTCATAGTCATTTAATAGTTGTTTAAGTCTAATTAAAACAGTATGATTTATTAATTATATTCATAGAGTCCCATGGAAATGAAATGGTAATCTCCTGTACACTTTCAGCTTTTTGGCCCCCCCCCCCTTGACCAGTGTGCTATGTTTTATGAGTCTATTTTTTGAGGCATTTCCGTGGTGAGGCGTTTCCATAGTGCACTCCCTCGACCCTTGAAAAGCTTTTTTTTTCAAATGAATAAGAAATAAGATCATATTATTTTCATATTGCAAAGTCAAAGTAATAAATGATTACTTGACTCTGTTAGTTAAGCATTACTTCCTTAAAAGCTCAAAAAAACTTGTTAAAAAGGTTAGCCTTTATAGTGTGTATTGACAATGTAATAAAAACAACCATATACTACTGTAAAACCAGGGAGCCTCTTGACTCCTTCATGATGATGATGCAGATACTCAGCTAGCAGCAGGCGGTGCTTACCCAAGGGTTCCCAGTTCATCATGCATTCCAGAGACAACATAATCGCTCAAACGCCAGCATGATAAAGCAGCGATCCCGGCCTCAAGGAGTGGATAAGCCCTGTTGTTCCAGTTCCTGTTGATCTGCTCCACCAACATGAAGCTCTACAATACTCCCATGAAGTACCCACAAATATTCATCATTAATTCCTTTGTTAATTTCTATATCAACCAATTTTAACTCCGTCTTGTGCAAATATTTCAAAACTTTCGTTTTTTAAATAAATGTTAGAAATATCCATTTCAGATATCTTTGTTTTATTATAGTGACTTTTAAAGTCAACAATAGAGGATTGAGGACTAATTATTGTCTGCACAGATAGTGTGGACTACTCAGGACTTGAAATACAGAACTATGATAAAAGAGGGATATACAGGGCTTTTTTGCCTAATAAACATCGTTGTTTTGTGTTAAAAAGGGCTCCTATAGTAGGCACATACCTCATAATTGTGGTGCTAGTTGATGAAAAAAATTTCTTAAAACGCCGTATTACCCTTTAAAAGTAGGCCTAATATTTCTAAAATGTGTTCGGTCTCTTTTCCAAAGATTTTCAAAAAAAAAATATTTTAATTCGGTTTATACAACAGAATTGAAATAAATTTCAATAATACAATTGAGGATTTTTTTGAAATAGATAACAGAAAGGGATGTTTGATTTTTTTTGAAAACCTTATAGGAAAAGGTTTAAACGACATTTTAGGGCTAAAAGTTTCAACGACGATCGCCCAATTTATCAAATAATTAAATAATTCACTTTGCCAATTAATTCGAAACACTTTTGAGCACTCATAAAACGTCGTTTAGATGGCCGGGTGAAATGGGACTGAACACATTCTAAAATATTAGGCCTAATTTTGAGGGTTCTAAAACGTCATTTTAGAGCAAAATGTTTTATCGGCGACCTTCCCCCCCCCCTCGTTTATACAAAAGCACTTTTTAAACAACCTGAAACTCTTTAAAATAATGACCAGAATGTTTTATTTGGCTTTCTGCCTTTAATAAATTTTTATTGTCATTTGATCATTTGACCAAAAAAAAACATGCTTACATAAGAAAGGTTAAATAAATAAAAACAAAGACCAAATAAATTCCGTAGAGTCGTCTCTGAAGTTTTTATCATTTGTGTAACCCTGTATTTTAGACTTTTTATAATGTTTCGTCAATGCAATATATTCTTGTTATCTAAAGTTGTAACAAATCACGTAAATAAATTTATTTTTGATACTATTCTAACGTAATAAAAGTAGGTTGTTTAATTTGTATAGTTAATTGATGTCATAAATTATATTTATGAATAATTATATTTACAATCACATGATACCTTGAAGGTGTACGTATATGGATTAGATTAATTGTTTTATTATGTTTATAAACATTGATCGATACAGTCTTATCAGAACATTCACAGAGAAACAAGTATTCAGGAATTAAACTAAAGATATTTTTTTAATGAGGGGGGGGGGTACTGCGCCCCACCCTCGAATGAAGCTGGTTGCGTCTAAAATGGTTAAAAATTCTAATGTAGAAAATCAAATTAACAAACGAGGCCTTAATTTTCTGATTGAGATTCATGAAATTAATGGCGTTTTTTTGTGACAGATTAAACAGCTTTGGGGGGGGGGGATAAATTAACGTTTCATCAATATCTCATATTTCAATTACAAAATCTAAATTTTAGTACCGTGCATTACTTATGCATATAATGCCATGTAAATTGTACGGATGTGCAATTGCATGCATACCGTGTATTCGTAATGATGCCAGGCTATGTATGTGTTTCTTTTTATTTTCCCAATTTGTGAGATTCTGAATGAGTAATGAAGTCTCCCTTTGAACCATATTCTTTATTTTCTCAGCTTGTACCCAAACTGAACTATAGGTTTTATATCTGTCTAGTTCTCTGAGTTTATTCTGCAGAAATATTTAGTTTAGTCACCGGGTTCTCTTCTCAGGGTTCAGTGCTATAGTTATAGAGTTCAGTTCTCCACCACTAGTTCCAACCTTTAACCTTCTCTATCCATGAATACAACCTAGAGAATAAAAATACAAACTAAAACCTCTTCTTTTCTACATCTCCTACACCCGGACTCACCGGAGCATTGTTTAAAGGAATTGAGTCTTTGCCACAAACTCAAATTTTCAAATGCCAATATCTTAGCAACCTGATTACGTAAACCTTTGATATTTCAAACTTAGAATGTTTTGTCTAAAAACATTCATAGTTTGAAATATCTAAGGTTTAAGACTTTGGGTTGCAAAGATATAGGGACTAGAAAATCAGAGATTGTGACTAAGACTCAATTCCTTTGACAGTTTTTGAGCAAATATGGATCCTGCATTTAAGAACGTGATCAGGCATAAAGAATAATTTTTAAGAATTTTACCATAAATTTATCATTTGTATTTATAATTCATACATAAAGTTTTGGATTTTAGAACCGTTAATATAGAGCCGTATTAAGTGACCCTTCAGTTCTATTGCAGGATATGTTCGATTCACAATTTAAAAACTTTGCATGGTCAAGAATGGATGAAATATCTATGTTTTGAGGCTTAAAATGTGATTTCTCTTTAACAATAACTTCCTAATTTCTGCTACAGAAACAATTGAGGAAATTTTTAGAATTAAACACCTTTTACTGCAGGCCAGAAAAACAATATTGATCAAGATAAAGACCGGTTTAAAGGGTAGCGTTGTGAATTGGGCATGCCCCCATTTTTTTAATCACCCGAAATTTTAAAGATGACTCTCTTAAGAAAGAGTTAATGAGAGGAAAACTTAGTTTTGTAGAAAAATAATATTAGGATCTGGTTCAGACAATTTATTTTTGTCTTTTCAATTTATAATTGCTAACAATAGTGGAGGTAAGACTATGAGACCACAAACCAAATAGTACAATAGATGGCAACATAGAATTTGTACACTCTCAGTACAGTTGTATTCTGACGTCACAAGTGTCAATTCAGTTTTGCGCCCGACAAAATTATCAATAATAGTGGTAATTTTAGAATAAAGTGCTTATCTTGCAGTAAAATAATTGCAATTTTATGTGTTCTTTAGTTTCTGTTTTTACACTTTTTTATTTAATCTTGGAAAACAAGTCAACTAATGTGAGACAATTTTGTTTTCCATGTTATATTTGACACTTGTGACGTATTGTATAATTGGTCCATTTCTCTGTTGCCACCTATTGTACTTAGTAATCTATTTGCCACAAACTGAACTGTATTTTTGGAATAGTATTTTTAAAGAACTTAACTTAAAATTCCATGCGTAAGATTTTAATATTTAGTTCTCAGTCATAACTCCTCTTATTAAAGAAATATTGAGAAGAACAAAAACTATGTAAATGTTTTAAATTTTCTAATATGTTTTGCCACTGATTTAATAACCCTTCTTATGTTGCAACCCAATGACATAATTTCAAACTACACAAGTTCGGTTAAATCCAATCTAATTTTAAAATATGAAAAGTTTCCACCATCAGGTTGCAAAGATATAAGTATTCCAAAATTTGAGTTTGTGGCAAAGACTCAATTTCTTTACTTTTCTCATATGTACTTAAAATTATAACTAAAGAAGAGGTACGAGGTTGCAAAGTCATGCCAGTAATTTAAACTCAAATTTTCGAATCCCTATATCTGTGCAACCGAATGGCCTAACCCTTTAACATTTCAAACTTTGAATATCTAATCTAACAGAATTCATAGTTTGAAATATCTAAGGTTTACGAGATCATGGATTGTAAAGATATTAGGCTTAGAAAATCAGAGTTTGTGGCAAAAACTAATTCCTTTAACCTTCTCCCTCTGTTAAGTTCACAATTAACAAACTGTACCTGGACAAAAACTTGAATTAATAAACACTATATCTTTGTAGCCTGATAGTTAACCTTTTAAGTTTCAGCCTCAATCTTTTTGATCCAGCAGAATTAATAGTTTGGAATGTTAAAGGTTAACAACATAAGATTGGAAAGATATATGGGATGCGAAAAGGATTCGGTTCCTTAGAATTTAAAATGGTTTTATCATTGCAGGAAACAGTAAGCAAGTTTCTTGAATATCCGGTTCCGGAATTAAAACCCCTGTCCTAAAACAATTTGAATTTAAGTTTGCTTGTTCATTTAAGAATAAGAGATCATATATTTATAATCAAATTCAAAATAATAATAAAAAAATAAGGAATTGAGTGTTTTGCAAAAACTCTGATTTTCTAATTCCAATATATATCTTTGCAACCTGATATGTCGCAGATCTTTTAATTTCTGTTAGATTAATTAAACAATTTAAGTTTTAAATATCAAAGGTTTGCACCATCAAGTTGCAAAGATTAAAAAAAACTCGAAAATTTGAGTTTATGAAAAAAACTCAATTATTTGACTTTTAGTTTTATTAAATTATGCGAAAATTTACAACCAAACCTATTTATCAAAACAATTAATCAAACAACTCCTTCTTATCGGCTATCTCTTACTTCCTTTAAAGAAACCGACCATACAAGATTATTTTTATTATTAGTTTTATTTGATCTGTCTGCGTCAAGCTTTTAGGATTAAAATTCTTTTATTTGGTTATTTTTTATGTTGGCTGGGTTTTTCTTTTTATATTACTAGAAATTCAAGGCGCTTCGCGCCCTTCTTTCTAGGCTTTTAGGGCGCTTCGCGCCCATCTTCTAAATTAATTGTGAACATGTTCTCTTTGTGTACATCGTAAAACAAAACAAAAATAATTCGCGGATTTTCACAAAAAATTTCGCGGATTTTCAAAATTTTTAAAAATTTAATGACGATTGAATTTTGATGGAGACAAATATTTGAAATTTTGATTTTTCATAAACCTTCCCTGGGGTCCCTAGATGTCCCACAAAAAATTTGGGCCCGATCGGTTCAGCCGTTTTGACGTTTATTGGATACAAACAAACAAACAAACAAACAGACAGACAAGCCAAATTTATATATAGATAATTATATTGAAAACATAACTTATCGGAAAAAAACTTATAATTTTATTCTTATTAACTCCAGTGGGTCCGGTCAGCTCGCCAGCTGGAGAATAAAGCAGTTCCAGTTAATACCTGTAAATCCGCAAGATATGGGTCAACTCTTCTCCGGGGACTGCTACCTATTCTTCAACAGGAGGCAGAAGCGTCAGGAGATCTTCTACTGGATTGGTAGAACATCCAGGTAAATAAGATCCACTACTGGATTGGTAAAACATCAAGGTAAACAAGATCTTCTACTGGATTGGTAGAACATCAAGGTAAACAAGATCTTCTACTGGATTGGTAGAACATCCAGGTAAACAAGATCTTCTAATGGATTAGTAGAACATCCAGGTAAATAAGATCTACTACTGGATTAGTAGAACATCCTGGTAAACAAGATCTTCTACTGGATTGGTAGAACATCAAGGTAAACGAGATTTTCTACTGGGTTGATAGAACATCAAGGTTAACAAGATTTTCTACTGGAGAACACATCAATGAATGTGATCGGCTCCATGATACGGCAGGGTTGGTGGACCCTATCTTTTCCTAATTTGTTGACTGTACAACCTTGCTTGATTTCAAGAATATCTATTATCTACTCATTAATCCTAACCCAAACGTCATTTAGAGCACATCTATATAATATTTCTCTTCACTCATATGTATTTGTTTGTATATATGTTAGCTATAGCTGGCAAAACGGCTGGACCGAATAATCTGACATTTGTTGAGGGAACTCATGGATGCAAGGGAAGTAACATAGGCAAAAAAGCGGCATTTTTTCAAATAAACAAAAAATATTTTTTTTACAGGCAACGCCTAGTTTTATATAAATCTTAATATACAGTATTGATGAAAGAGCCACTGTTGCAATAAAAGCTGTAGAACTTGATGATGCTTTTGGTGGAGTTCCCGTTCAGCATAGAGAGAAGGACGGATATGAATCTGAGGTAGAGGTTTAAACTCTAAATATGGAAAAAAAATATACATTGGAAAAATATCCTCCACTTTCTACATAGAATTGAGTCTTTGTCACAAACTCTGATTTTCTAATCTCTAAATCTTTGCAACCTTATGACTGTAGCAGCCCTCATCTATATCTTCAATATTCAATCTCTTAAAATAATCTTTGGACATGTTTTTGACAGAATAGGAGTATTGGCATTTCAAAAGTATTTAACGTTTTTAGACTTTTAAATCCCTGTTTCCTGACGGATTGATTAAAAGAGATGGAGGATTTGAAACTGGATTAAAGAAAACTCAAGATATGTCTCATTTAACAAGAATGTACAAGGTAGTATTAAATCTTCAATGTGTTCTGATGGCTACAGAGATTCCAGGTTTAGATAATAGGATTTAGTTTTTGAAATGAATGTGGTGAATGTTTGAATTACGATCTACTAATGTGTATTATACTGAATGGTAGTTTTAAAGCAAAAAAATAAAGGTTTTATATTTTCTGTCAAGCTTACTAAGTCTATTGTTACAATTATGGTTTTATATTATTTCTCATGCCTTTAAGGTTGAAAGGTTTAAACTATAGTTAATACTCGAGTGATGGGTTCCAATTTTGGATAATGTTTTCAATAATCTTTTTGCTTATTAGAGAAATAAAGAGGTTTTCTGAAATCCGGTAAAAATTATCTCCGCTTAGATTTTAACAGCTTTTAAGTCCCCATGGACATTTTATTATATAACTGCATGAGTTCATGGGAGAATTGTGAACTGACGCAGGATTAGTTTAATGTTTATATTCCTCCCAGAAGCTACAGTACACTTCTTTAAAATATGCAGGTTTCTTTTGCATCTTCCTTGATTAGATTTATTTAGACTAATCTCTGATTTTATCCTCCCATTTTGTTATTAACCGTTAAAGATAAGTTGTTGCTTACAGAAGGTTAACCTTTCCCGCGTGTTGTCTGTCCTATAGGGACTACGTCACTACAGACGTAAATTTCAGTCATCCAACATTTACAGAGTGCTCTATTCCCCATGATGCCCTTATTGTCTTATTATAAAATAAATTAGTTTTTAAAATTTTAAAATTGATTCTTTTCGATTTTGGATTATTTACTAGAGTTTCTTGCGGATTACTGCTGCGGATACAATGGAGGATATTGTAAGAATCAAACATTTCTAATTTAGAAAAACATTAATGATTGAATAAATGTTGAATGGGTACTGTTGTGAATCAGACTTGCTCATCGTTAAAATACGGGGGTCACTTGAAATTACAACATTAGATAGGATTAGATCTTCTATTTTTCTAGGTTGCTGGTGGAAATATCCCAATGCTCAGTGAGGTTCCGATATCCTGGAGCAGTATGAACCACGGAGATACCTTCGTCCTTGACTCCGGGGAGCTGATTTTTGTCTGGCGGGGTAGATGCTCCTCAGGAGCAGAAGGGTTGGCAGCTGCTAAACTAGCAACCAGGCTTAAAAACAAGATGGGAGAGCAGGTACACAGGGTGTTCCAATATATCTTCTTTTTATGATATTTATTTATGTATTTTAGACACCCTGCATAGTAGACATATATATTATATATTTGCAAATTCCACATTCTTAAAAATGCTTAAATTTTTTGAGAAAAAATTATGTTTTATGATTTTAAGGAGGTTGGTGTCAAAAATACCCCCCCCCCCTCTACCACGTCGGACTAGTTGAAAAACTTTTTAGATGTTACGTGGTGACCTGAACTATTTATTTAAACTGTAAAACTGAGACTTTGAGAAGACTGTGAATAAAAAAGAACGAATGCCAATAAAATTGGAAATTGTTTTCAACCGGTTTATATCTAAGGCCACAAAATAGTGTAAGAAATAAAAAAGAAGGCACTCCAAAATATTATATTGAATTGGTTTTGAAAATTGATGCTTCTATTCGTGGCAGTCTGGATCAATGCACGTTAACGAACAATTGATTTTGATTTGTTCCATGCTTTATATCATCTGTTAAAGTCAAAATTTTCCATTTCTAAAAAAGAAAACTGAATACTGATAAAAGTATTGAATTTATACGTAAGACTTTAAATTGGAATTTGTGCAGCCTTCAATTAAAGCCAAATAAACTTCAATAATTTTTTAACAGATAAAAACAATGCCCATCTCTACAAATACCTTCACAATTATTCAAATACATGAAGAAAATTTGTTCTCCCGTGTTTATAGATCATAACCTTGGATGATGGTGATGAGGAGAGTTTAACGGAAGGAGAGAAATCTGTTTGGGAAAACTATCTTCAGCTCAAAAATAAACACGAGGTAGGGTTTCCAGGCATAATTACGTTACGCGTAATTACGAGTACTTACGCGTAATTCACTTTCTTTCATGCCTACGGGGGAGCATTACGCGAAATTACATGTTAGTTATGCATACGAAAGAAAGTCTAGTTTCGCGTAATTAAAGCGTAAATTCGGGAAATTACACTATATGAAACCATTCCGTAATTAGTAAAGTACATTATTAGTTCTCAGAAATAAATATAGCGTGAGAATATGAGAAGGATATACGCGCTATACAACCATGTCCAATCTGATTGGATAATTTAAATACTTTCAATTGAAGTTTCGCTAATTAGGCATAATTCTTGCAAAATTTCGCAAAAATGGATGAGACTTAAGAGACGATTATGAGAAATTTTATCAGCCTTTTTTTCTTAAATTGATGGTTTCCTGTAGCATTTAGAACTTTTTGCTTTCTTTTTAAAAAACACTCAAAACACCTATTAAACATCTGAAGACCCATTTTTACCTTAAGATCTTCAGTTTTAAATAGTTTTCGGACTCGTTGCTGCGTGGGCGGACTCTCCCGAAAGTTTTAATCATTTCAACACAATGTTAGGCTTAAAAAGCAATGTTATGACCCTTTTTCGATATTATTAATGTATTTTGATTGGAAAAAAATACATTAAAAATTATCTATGTCTCAAGTAAATATTAATTGATTTGATTATTTGAAAGGAAGGCGACATTAAAAGAGGAAATAACTTTTTTTGCCTTTACCCCCTTTAAAATACATACTAAATGCGTATTAAATACTAGGCTTTTAGGGCGCTTCGCGCCCATCTTCTATCTCAATTGTTAACATGTTCTTATGTAACATTGAAAAACAAAAACAAAATTGCGCATTTTATAAAAAATAGTTGCGGATTTTCAAGATTTTAAAATTTTTGACAAAAATAAAAAGCTTTTCTACACAATTTTTTTTAATTTTCATCATTTATAAACCTTCCCTGGGGTCACGCGAGATCCCACAAAACATTTGGGCCCGATCGGTTCAGCCGTTTTGACGATACAAACAAACAAGACAGACAAGCCAAATTTATTATATATAGATATTAGATATGTCAACTAAGAATGTTTTAACATTGCTATTTATGTCTAACATTGTGTTGAAATGGTTAAAACTTTAAGATGAGTCCGCACATGCAGTCGAGTCCGCTCCATGCATTACACCTGTCGTCTTTTAACCCTGTATCAGAATTTATAATTTAGGTAGTTGAGGCAGATAAAACATCGGATAAAAAACACAGCAGGTTATTAACAGAAGCAAGGCTTTTTAGGTAATTACTAATTATATTCTCTTTTATCATACTTATAGGCTTTTAGAGCGCTTCGCACCCATCTTCTATTTCAACTTTTTATTGTGGCTTTAACTGTGCATCTTTTCTTTGTACAGTATAAAACAAAAACAAAACAGTTTGCAGATTTCATAATATTTTTTCTGTAATTTTCAAAATTTACAAAAATAAAAAAGCTTTCTAACACAAATTTTTGAAAATTCGATAATTCTAAACCTTCCCTGAGGTCGCGCGAGGTCCCACACAAAATTTGGGCCCAATCGGTTCAGTCGTTTTGACGTTTATTGGATACAAACAAACAAACATAATAAAATTTTACCCTGAACAGATTAAATGGATACAATTTATGCAAGCAGTAATAGGAGGGATGGTTGTATGCCTTGTAAAGACATGGTCGAATATTTTGTTTAGATAAAAAAGATTAACTGAGAGATGATTTTTTTTGTAAAACTTCGAACCTGCAATGTGCATATGCATGTAAATATGATGTAATAATGTTCATTAAAGAGTATATAGATACTGAGTTTGCAACTTTTGTACTATTAATCTCTTCATCAAGAACTAATAATAAATATCTTTGAAAATTATAAGTCTGACCAATCTACTCTTAAAAGTTTCTGGTGTGAAAATCCTTTGTTGAATTTTTTTTTTTAATTCAAAACTGAAATTGAAGCTTGATAAGTTTAGGTGTACTGAGACGAATGGAAGCCTGTCAACTGTTCTTGTGAAAACTGGAAACTTGGTTCAGGATGATCTTGATCCTGGAGATGCATTTGTAGTTGAGGCAGGGAGGTCCGGAGTCTGGGTTTGGTTAGGAACTCATAGCTCACAGGTTAGGTTCAAGGGAGTGTACAAACTATTTTCATTTTAAGTTTCTTGATTTAAGAAGTAATACTTCTCTGTGCATTGTGCAGTTCATGATTTTTGCATAATGGAATTGAGCCTTTGCCACAAACTCATATTTTCTAATTCCTTTATCTTCACAACCTGATTGTGTAAACCTTTAATATTTCAAACTTAGATTATTTGATCTAAAAGAATTCATATATTAAAAAAAGATAGTGGGTTGCAAAGATATTGGTTTTAGAAAATCAATTTCTTTGCAGATTTTTTTCTGTTGCAAACTTATATATTCGAAATATCTAAACAAATTTAAACTATACACAATATATATATAAATATTATGAATAAATTCTAATAATAACTATGAAAGCATAAAAGTATATAATGAAGATTTTGTAATTTGTAATTTATGTGACATATCTGCACTTTTTTGAAGTCAATTGTTCCAAATTACAAATACGAATGACTTTTATATTTTCATATTTTTCAAAGAGAAAGGTAGAGGATATTATAAAATATAAAAAAATATAAAAAAACAGAACAAACTGTCTTTTCCTTATAAACAATGTTAAAAGACTTTTTGGTTTTGCTTTTTCGAAAATATTTGAATTCATTTGATTTTATTGAAACCGTCGAATATTCTAGATTGAGAGAAGAGGAGCAATGGAGGTTGGAGAGAAGGTGATAAAAGATAGAAACCTTCCTTCTCATACCAGGATATCAAGGATAAACATGAACTCAGAACCAGAGGAGTTCAAGTCCCTCTTCCTCCAATGGACTTAGATCGCATCAGAATTTTGGACTTTTATTTTTTCTGGAAAAGCCATTAAAGGGACTGAAAGGGTAATTTCAAGTGACTATCCGCGTGCAAAGATGGCAATGCCTGATTCACAACCATGTATCCTTAAACTACTTTGTCTTATCAAGTCGCGCTTACAGCCCCTTTAATGCATATTGTCTGTATTGCAGACTTAAAGGGAGTGACCGACTATGCAGTATGCAGTGTTGTGGAAAACTTCTTTCGGATTCATTTGAGACATATTACACTTTTTAAAGATCTGTAAATCCTGAGTTTGAGTGCAAATTCGACGTTCAAAACTCTTACTTTGGGGGTGGATACGTTTTCAGAAGTAGTTTTTTGAAATTATTAATTTACGACGACATAAAATGTAAAAAAAGATCTACAATAAACTACAGACGTCATGCTGAGAACATGTTGAGAAAATAAAAATTAATCTTATCATCGAAAATAAGTAATCTTGTTCAACTATTAGTTTCTATTTTCTCATTATTCTGGTTTCTCATTATTCACAAAGATTTTCGAAGATTTTCTAGAATTATTATTGAAAAAACGACATTTGAAGAATTTGAAGAAATCTGCGAATAAATTCAAAGAAGATAAGAAATTCAATATAATAATGAAAACGAAATAATCGATTTTAGCATTGATTTATTGACAAATTTCTTTTGAGAAATATGTTCCTAACCGTCTAATTAGATTACCGTATAATTTTTACTTTATTTTTCGTTGTCGTTATTTAATAATTAAAAAAAAAACTAATTCTGAAAACGTATCCACCCCCAAAGTAGGAGTTTTGAACGTCGAATTTGCGCTCAAACTCGTGATTTACAGATCTTTTAAAAGTTTAATATGTTTCAAATGAATCCGAAAGAAGTTTTTCACAACACTGCACTCAGTTCAACTACCTTACATTGCCGGTCACTCCCTTTTAATTAATAACAAGATTTAGTTAATTGAACCACTTTCTTGTTCGCGTCAAGCTGCGAAGAAGTAGTTCAACTTAGTCTTAGTTCTACTATAGTCTTGCTATTTATTAAAGAAACTGAGTTTTTGCCATACAAACAAAAATTTTGCAAATGGATAGTGTACATCTAACTGATATTTCAAACTTAGATTAATTAAAATAACAGAATTTATAGTTTGAAATATCTATAAAGTTTACGATATTGGGTTGCAAAGATATAGGGATTAGAAAATCAGAGCTTGTGGTAAATACTCAATTCCTGTGGTTCCTGGTCCGTGAAAATCTCAGTGAAGTAATTTATTGCAAAAATATGCATTTTTAGCTTTATGCATTACAATGGAATTAAGTAAAAGGTGGAAGCGCAAAGATTAATACACAAACTACATTTTATTTGGGAAGCAGGGGGGGAGGGGGGCGGGAGGGGCATAGGTTAATAATACCAGTTATTAACAAGATTATTTTTTTCATCGTCAATAAATTTATTTCATTTTATGTTTTTTGAATTACGACTGTAAATAAAAGTGTTTAAAAGTCATCATTGAATTAATGAATTAAAATAAGAGCATTGGAGTATCATTTGTATATCTGGGAAGTTGAGTAGAGGAGTTACCAAGGTTTAATGAGGATAAAAGGTCGGAAGGAGTAGAGGAGTTACCTTGGTCTAAGGAGGATTGAGGCAGGAAGGAGTAAAGGAGTTACCTAGGTTTAAGGAGGATAAAATCAGTGAAGAAGTAGAGAAGTTAGCAAAACTTCAATTAAGAAGGATAAAAGCAGGGAAGGAGTAGAGAAGTTACCAAGGTTTAAGTAGGATAGAAGGTTGGAAGGAGTAGAGGAGTTACCAATGCTTAAGGAGTAAGAGTTAGCAAGGTTTAAGGAGGGTAAAAGGTTGGAAGGAGTAGAGGAAGAGTTACCAAGGTTTAAGGAGGATAAAAGGTTGGAAGGAGTAGAGGAAGAGTTACCAAGGTTTAAGGAGGAGGTTGGAAGGAGTAGAGGAGGAGGTACCAAGGTTTAAGGTGGATAAAAGTTGGAAGGAGTAGAGGAAGAGTTACCAAGGTTTAAGGAGGATAAAAGGTTGGAAGGAGTAGAGGAAGAGTTACCAAGGTTTAAGGAGGATAAAAGTAGGGAAGGAGTACAGGAGGAGGTACCAAGGTTTAAGCAGGATAAAAGGTTGGAAGGAGTAGAGGAGGAGGTACCAAGGTTTAAGGTGGATAAAAGTAGGGAAGGAGTAGAGGAGGAGGTACCAAGGTTTAAGAAGGATAAAAGCAGGGAAGGATTAGAGGAAGAGTTACCAAGGCTTAAGAAGGATAAAAGCAGGGAAGGAGTAGAGGAGGAGGAACCAAGGTTTAAGAAGGATAAAAGTAGGGAAGGAGTAGAGGAGGAGGTACCAAAGTTTATGGAGGATAAAAGGTTGGAAGGAGTAGAGGAAGAGTTACCAAGGTTTAAGGAGGATAAAAGTAGGGAAGGAGTAGAGGAGGAGGTACCAAGGTTTAAGGAGGATAAAAGTAGGGAAGGAGTAGAGGAGGAGGTACCAAGGTTTAAGAAGGATAAAAGTAGGGAAAAGTAGAGGAAGAGTTACCAAGGTTTAAGAAGGATAAAAGTAGGGAAGGAGAAGAGGAGGAGATACCAAGGGTTAAGAAGGATAAAAGGTTGGACGGAGTAGAGGAGGAGGTACCAAGGTTTAAGGAGGATAAAAGTTAGGAAAGGAGTAGAGGAACAGGTACCAAGGTTTAAGAAGGATAAAAGTAGGGAAGGAGTAGAGGAGTTACCGTGAGATTTAAGAGGGATAAAAGCAGGAAAGGAGTAGAGGAGTTACCATGAGGTTTAAGAAGGATAAAAGTAGGGAAGGAGTTAGAGGAGGAGTTACCATGAGATTTTAGAAGGATAAAAGTAGGGAAGGAGTAGAGGAGTTACGAAGGTTTAAGAAGGATAAAAGTAGGGAAGGAGTAGAGGAGTTACCTTGGTTTAAGAAGGATTAAAGTAGGGAAGGAGTAGAGGAGTTACTAAGGTTTAAGGAGGATAAAAGCAGGGAAGGAGTAGAGGAGTTACCATGAGGTTTAAGAAGGATAAAAGTAGGGAAGGAGTAGAGGAGTTACGAAAGTTTAAGAAGGATAAAAGTAGGGAAGGAGTAGAGGAGTTACTAAGATTTAAGGAGAATAAAAGCAGGGAAGGAGTAGAGGAGTTACCAAGGCTTAAGGAGGGTTGAGGCAGGGATCAGAAGTAGAGGAGTTACCAAGGTTTTTATTAAGAAGGATAAAAGCAGGGAAGGAGTAGAGGAGTTACCAAGGTTTCAATTTAGAAGGATAAAAGCGCAGGGAAGGAAGATAAAAACTTTGGTAAAAAAGTCCCATATTTTCTTAAGTCGACAAAATGTCACTGCAGAAATAAAGCATCCCCAGATCATCGATCTCAGCGGGTTAAAGAGAATTCTGCGAAAACTTGCAAATTGCGGACCCCTAATCTAATCTCTACTGTACAGTGTGCACTCGTCAGTTTCCCAGATTTGACACTAGACTAAAATCATACAGAACTTGATATTCTTCATATAGGTGAATTTGTAAATTTTATTGGAGATAAAAAGAGGATTTTTAATAACTTTCTACTTTTAATTGCTAAACTGACTGTATGGGTTGTGCAGTATAGCAGTTGTCTAAAATAGGGAAATAAACGAAAGTTTTATAATTTCTAACAATTATTTTTTTAGAATATTCATCAAAATAATTTATTGATTTTAGTTGGATGGTTTGTCTTTTTAAAGCTTTCTCTACGCGTGACACCGGCCCCTAAGCCTGTCCTAGCCGCGGCGCTCGGCCCCCTAGCCTGTCCTAGCCGCAGCGCTCGGCCCCCTAGCCTCTCCTAACCGCAGTCTCGGCCCCTAAGCCTGTCCTAGCCGCAACGCTCGGCCCAGAACTTGTCTTAACCTAACCTAACCCTAAATAAAAAAACAATAAATAATAATAAATTTGCTGAAAAATAAATGGTCATGTACAAAATTGATAGGAGGGGGNAAAATTAGCAGGGGGGCTTATTAATTATCCTTTAATTTTGAAAGCCTTTCAATCTTTAAAAACTTTTTTTTTCAGAAAAAAAGGAAAATGACTGCTATTCGAAGAATAGTTTGTGAAATAATAGTTTGCTCTTATATCTTCTCCTCTTCCTCTTCATCTTTCTTGTAACCAACATCGGCTCAATAATTATGGAGTGTTAAACCTAATTTCCCGTAGGTCGGGGGGCAGGGGGTCAGCCAGGGCATTGTGCCAAGTGAAAGAGACACATTAATCAGCATAGAAGTAAAAACTTAGCCTAAAAATGCCGAAGCAGTCGACAGGTGATAAAACTAAACCACTTCATCAGCAGCTGGAGCTGCTGGCAGACTGCACAGCTAAATGCAGATCAGCTGCTCACGCAGGTGAACTTGTCTGCGCGGCTACGCACAGCTGTCCAGAGATTGAAATCATTGCCTGGATCTCAAGGCATTGTTATGCACCAGCAAGGTATTAAACCGATATCTATAATTCATCTTAGACTCATGATTCACCCCCCCTCCCACCACCCCCATCCTTTCTGAAAGCGATCGCTTTCGATTCTAAAATATCTATTTGTTTTAAAGGACTTCGCACGATCAAATAAATTTCAACTTATGCTTTCAGAGGGAAAGATTGCAGTCGACGAATCTTATTTTTCAAATATATTTGATAATGTTCAGAATCCGTGACGAGAATGGAAGATCGTTGTTACATATTGCAGCAAGTCTGGGGAAAATTAAAATTCTTGAATGGCTTCTTAGGTTCAAGGTAACACATTAATCTTTATAATAAAACAAGACATTCATGTATACATGTTACCTATAGCGGGCCAAACGGCTGGACCGAATGGGTTGAAATTTTTTGTGGACACTCATGGGTAGCCTGGGAGTTTCTTAGGCTACAGGCTAAAATCGTATTTAAAAAAAAAATATTTTTTACGGGCATCGCGCCCTTCAGCTAGTGAAGAATGATATTGCATTTAACAGAGAATCTCCTTTTATTACAATTTCATGAAATTACTTTTGAAATTATAGCTAGAAAGTGACTTTAAGAGAGTCTTGACCCCATTGTTGTTCTTTTTCCAGGACGGTACGATTAACACTAAAGACGGAGAATCCGGATACTCTGCTCTACACAGAGCAATATTCTTCGGTCAAATACAGACGGTCATCTACCTCATCAAACAAGGTCAACTGGTTATTTTATCAAAAAGAATACGCCAAAAATCGCGCCTCTTCTCGGCTGTTGGATCTTGATTAATATATTATTGTTGTAAATTCGGTTTATGTACTTACAAAATCTTGGCGGAGTGGGATTCATGCTGTGTTCATGCCCCAACCTTACAGACGCTATACTAGGGTATTAAGTTTTTTTTTAAGGGGGGGGGGTAGCTA